AATTTACACAGTAATATTTTTTGGCACTTACATTTCAGTGACCCAGAAATTATTATTCTGCCATAGTCAAATAGGTAGCTGTTCGGCTAGATCCCCTGACCTGTTCATTGAGAAGCTGATGCCTTTTATTCCTCTATAGATATGAATTTGTTTACAATTACTTATACTTAGCCAATTTACGAGAAAACTGGGAAGAAGTGAAGAAAAATGCACTAAAAGCTCCTCAACCTGAAGTTCGACGGTATGTCCTTCCCTTAAATATTGAGAAGGTAAGAATTAAATATTATACACTGGAAAGAAAACCAATATTTTGCACATGTAATGTGTACAGTTATTTGCCAGCAAGGACTTCATAGAGAATGCAATGTACATTGGGCTGGTTGGGTGTGTGATCATGTTCAGACGTTCTTTGCAACATTATTTTCAAGCGCAATATTTTGTATTTTCCCAAAAAACAAGAGGCATTTATATACAGGAATAATAAAAAAGAATGTTTTGAGGGAACATGGTTGAATTAGTGTTTCAATTTCCCCTCTTAAAACCAAGACTTAAAAAAAAAAAAGAGTTCCTGAGATCTTTTACTTATATTGTTGGAATGTTGAAAAATGGGGCACAGTATAGAATGTTTCTTCTTACTTTCTTTTTTGTGGGGGATGTTCTAGGCTGATACGGGGAAAAATCTAATCACATTACCTAATACAACAGCAACAGCAATTCTGCACAGTGATGATACCATATGGCTGGATCCAGAAGTTATTTTTTCAGGACCACGACAAGGTAAGGCTAAGCTCAGCAAAAAGCAAAAAAGACCATCCTAGCAAATACAAAAAACCAATTAAATGTGTTTGTTTTGCTTTATAGCTTTTGAGTTTCCACAAATAAACTATGCAAAATATTCTGGGAAACCTTATACATATGCATATGGTCTTGGACTAAATCATTTTGTTCCAGACAGAGTAAGTATTAATAGACTAGATTTGTTTTTGCAAAAAGGCAAAGAAAAGTTCAAGTCCAAACTATTTTATGTGGCTCATAGGAATATAGAAGATAGGTGCATCATCTTGAACTGCTTCTTTTGCTATTCAGGTTATTACTACATTTACTTTTAAGTCTATTTCCAATTTAACAGGGAAAAAAAATATCATTGTTGGGGAGAGGGAATGCTCTATTTTCCCTAGGGTGTTTGCAAACTACCTATTCTGGATGTCTATCTTTATTATAGGAAAAAACATACCAAGTATGAAATCCATAGATAGCAACTATACAATAAATCTTTCTTCCAGATCACACTATATCAACAGCAGTCACAGTTACCACAACGCGAAAGGGTTGAGTTTCTCATAAAGCTTTGTTCCTAATAGATTTCCATTCAAACAGATCACTGCATTGCTCATCCTAGCTCAGACTGCTCCTGCGCTCAAACGATCAAGAAAATGCAATGTATTTGCCCAAATGAACAGATGCAAATGTTTCATACTTTGATAAAAATAGATTTGATGCCGTCTGAGACTTGCATTAAGATTCATCTTTGAGCATGCTGTATAAAACCAAATAGCCTTTAAAAATGTAGTCAATTCTAACTTATCTGTTTTGTGTTCTCGGACAAATCTGATTTGTATTTGAACAAAATAAAAACAAAATAAAACCCTGACTAGGTGGCTCAGTGGCTAAGACACTGAGCTTGTTGATCAGAAAGGTTGGCAGTTCAGCTATTCAAATCCCAATACAGGTCTCCTGTGTGAGCAGGGGGTTGGGCTAGATGACCTCCAAGGTACCTTCCAACTCTGTTAATTACTTAAAATACAAAATGTATTCTTTTTAGGCACTAAAATAATATATATTTTGTTATGCTGTTCTACAAAAGATTATGAGCCTCTTGTAAGGCTGAGTTTTCACTTTCAATATAGGGTGATCAAATCAATGTGACAGCTCCCTATCTCTTGATTATATTGTTGTGGTTCCATCTTATACCTCATTTTATTCCATTCACAAGTTGTTCAAGTCCATTGTGGCTTAGAGTCACATACAATATACAAAATTTAAATTTTAAAATTTACAATAAAACAATACTTTGTTTTACATACAAAAATATTATCCAAACAAATTGAACATCATTTCAGATCAGACAACCCCCAGAGGACTGGCTGTTCTCTCTAGCCCAAAGCCTGGGAAAAGAGCCAGTCTGAGGGACTCATCTAAATATGGTTGGGATGAGGTTCATAAGAATATCAGGGGAAAGTTATTGCAGTGGGCAGATACTACAATACAAAAGGTGGCATTACTTCATTGATGGGATCCAGAACTTGCCAATTCTGCCAGACTAGATAAGGCACAGGTGTCACTCTCATGGCGTCACGTTGCCATCATGTGATGTTTCGCAACATTTTTCCTATTCATGGAACTGGGCTGCTTGTGGGCTGCTTGTGGGCTGCCAGTTTGACACCCCTGATATAAGATGAACAGCAATTATGGACCACAGGTGGTCGCTCAAGTAACCAGGTGCTATGCCATGAAGGGCTTTATAGATGACAACACCATGAATTGCACCTGGAAGCCTGCTAGTAAGCAGTGCAAAGCCTATATTGCCTGACATAATTAAATGGGCATACCAAAAACCTGAAATAATTACATGGGCACACCAGAGCCTGAAGTATCACATGAGCATACCAAGGCATCATCTGTAGCTTCCAGATGGTCTTCAAGGGCAGTCCCAGGTATAGTGCATTGCAATAATCCAAACTTAAGATAATCAAAGCACAAGCTACTGTCTTAAGAGTCTCTCAGTCCAGCTATGGGCACAACTGGTGAATCAATTGAATCTGTGCAAAGGCCAACATGGCCCCAGTTGCCATTTCAAGCAGGAATTGTGAGTCCAAAAGATCCCTAGAAGAACTAGTCACAGAGGGCATAGTATAATTCAGAACTAAAGATGGAATATCTAGATCAGGGTGATCAAATAAATTCTTAATCAAAAGAGTTAAGTTTTAATCTTCACTTTTTAAAATGCAGTTCATTTAAATGCACGATAGCAGCAAGTCACAACAAAATGCAGAGCAGACCAAAGCTTATGCAACCAACCTTAGCAGGATTATCGATACAAATGTAAAGTACAATATTGTACAGTAGTCCTCAAGTTACATCCATTCATTGAATGATCATTTGAAGTTACAAAGGCACTGAAAAAAGTGACTTATGACCATTTTTCACATGACCAATTGCAGCGTCCCTGTGGTCACGTGATGAAAATTCGGACACCTGGCAACTGGCATATACTATTTATGATGGTTGCAGTGTCCTGAGGTCATATGATCACCTTTTGTGACCTTCTGACAAGCGAAGTCAATGGGGAAGCCAGATTCACTTAACAACCATGTTACTAGCTTAACAACTGCAGTGATTCACTTAACAACTGTGGCAAAAAAGGTCATAAAATGGGGCAAAATTCATTTAACGACTATCTTGCTTAGCAACACAATTTTTTGGCTCAATTGTGGTTGTAAGTTGAGGGCTACCTAAATGTGCACTGACAGAATGGGACAACTTGCAGTGACCATGGTCATCTTGCCGCAGTCAACTCTCTGTGGCCAATTCATGGCAGCCATCTTGCCATGGCCAACTCACCACAAGAAAACTTACTACAGGACAACTCATTGCAGGACAATCCACATGGGGTAACTCCATGCATTAAATATTATCTGTCACTATTTCTTTGACATTATTTCCATTGACAAAAATGGGAAATAATGAATTGATGTTCAAAACATTCAAAATTGCCATTTTAAAATTGGAAGGTTTAGGAGCCAGAAGGTTTTGTGCATCGTAGTAGTGATGCATTGATTGATTTACCAGCCTTTTTAGAAAAATGCGTTTTTTAAAAATGAATTTTTTTTCCAGATTTGCAAAATGAATGTTAAAACTAAAGAGACGTGGGTATGGCAAGAACCAGATACATATCCCTCTGAACCAATCTTTGTTCCTCACCCAGAAGATATAGAAGAGGATGATGGTAATGTTATGACATTTTGATTAAAGTTGAGAAAAAGACCAGTGGTGAAATCTAAAATTTGTTACTACCGGTTCTGTGGGCGTGGCTTGGTGGTGGTGGGATAATGTGACTGGGTGGGCATGGCCTTCTTCTTCTTCTTCTTCTTTTTTTTTTACTTTTAAAACCATTTTTTCTACAACCTCTTCGGCGAAATAATGCTTTCAAAAGGCTCTGCCGATCAGGCAACTCAGCTGGGATCGTCAGAGCTTGGATCGTCAGAGGCATTTAAAAGTAAAAATCTTTTTTTCTTTTAAATGGCTCTGACGATCCCAGCTAAGTTGCCTTGATCGGCAGAGGGTTTTTAAAAAACTCTCTGATGATCGCGCGGCTCAGCTGGGCATGGGGGGGGCGGGATTTTTGCTACCGGTTCTCCGAACCATCCACCTGCATCGCTACTGGATCGGGCGATCCGGTTCGAACCGGGAGCATTTCACCCCTGGCTTTATCCAAATTTGGCTCTATACATAAGAAAAGGATTTAATAAATATACTTAATTTATACCCACTAAATATTCCCTGGGGGAATAATGCAAAAATTAGTATGTTTCTGAATTACTGTATTATCTAACCTACTATCTGTGCTAAAGTTTTTGTGTTTCTTTGTTTATTTATTTATTTATTTATTAATCAAATTTCTATACCGCCCTACTCCCGAAGGACTCAGGGCGGTGAACAGCCAAGATAAAATACAGATAATACAAATATTAAAAATCCCTTAAAATTATTAAATATTTTGGCCGAAGCACAGATTAAAACACCCAATTTATAAAAGTAATTTGCATTTATTTTGATACAGGTATTATTCTGAGCATAGTCATCAGTCCTGGCTGTGGACCAAAGCCTGCCTACCTTCTGATCCTGAATGCAAAGAATATGAGTGAGGTTGCCAGGGCACAAGTGGACATAAATATCCCAGTTACTTTCCATGGATTCTTCAAAAGAGCATGATGTCTGTCTTGTCTGTCAATCTTTCTTTTTAATACAATGTGCAGAAAAACATAAAGCATTCTTCTAATTATCTGCCAGTGATTTGCAAAATTAGTTTAACATTAACGATTTCCTGTGCTGAGGCCCAATTTTAATTTTAATACTTAAGAAAGTATCCATTTTTAAGAATGTTTTCCTGACTATAATGCACCATAAATAAGGATAATTAAATGTTGTTAGTACTGTAGATTCTGAGGAACAGCATCAGCATTATAATCTCAGTAAACTTCAGATAAACATTTACAATTAAAATTAAAATTGTTAAAATTGTTTGATAATAGAACATGGGTGAAACACAACAAATAACCTTGAACTCTGGCAGATTAAGTAGTGAATAATTAGAAATAAGTATTTAGCAAATTATTAGTTTGGAAACAACTTTAGATTTCTTATAGTTTTAATATTTGAACATAAATTATTTTTAAAAATTAAAGTAAAATAATTCATCTTTGTCACTTATCAGAGAAAATGATATTTTGAATTTGATCTCTCTGATACCTTAAATATCTTTATTTTACAAATAATGATTTGTCTAATAAAAATTATGTAAAATGTGAATATTTATTTTTTAAAAAAATATTCATAGCTTCTCCTTATCTTCAACTGTACTACAGGTAGTCCTCGACAATTCATTTAGTGATGGTTCAAAGTTACAACAGCACTGAAAAAAAACTTATGACTTATGATACAAGTAGTCCTCGATTTATGACCGTTTTTCACACTTACAACCATTGCAGCATCCCCATGGTCACATGATTGAAACTCAGATGCTTAGCAACTGACTCATATTTTTGATGGTTGCAATTTCCTGGGGTCATGTGAGCACCTTCTGTGACTTTCCAACAATCAAAGTCAAAGGGGAAGCCATATTCACTTACCACCTTTTTATTAACTTGATAACTGCAGTGATTCACTTAACAACTGTGTTAAGAGTAATAAAATGGGCCAAAATTCACTAAACAAATGTTTCATTTAGCAACAGATATGTTGGGCTCTATTGTGGTCATAAGTCGAGGGCTACCTGTATTTGTATCTTCAGATTTGAACACCTATATATTCACAGTATGTTCTGTATAAACTCTGGGAAGTGAAAACCTTTGCTTTAAATCTTTGAGACTTTAAAAAAATAATTTCTTGATTATATAAATTCTACATAATAGTGTTCTAACATTGGAGTTACATTGGGAAGTAAAAAATACTTTTCTTCTATATTGTAGCCAAGATCACAGATGGATGTGTCACAATGGGCAGAGGAGTCAAGATTGACTTGAGAGTGTCTGTACTTTTACCTATAGCATATAGATAAGAAAAACACATGATTAAATGGCAATATATAAATATTTGTTATATCCAGGTACTTTTTATATGATGATGCCATAATGATATTTTACTGACAACTTTCTTATATTATTATTTGACATCAGCCCAATCTGATACTCAAACTCAGTTATTTATAAGCCCACTTACTTCCTTACATTCTCATGATAGGAAAAGAAGATTGTTGCACAGACACTATCCGGTATCTTTGTTGCTTCATAATTCTTAAACATTGTCCAATAACCTGTCAAAAGATAAAAATTAGTATCAGTGATAATAAGTATTACAGAATATAGTATTAATGTCTTAAAGAATCTTTATTCCAAAATTCAGGTATTTGAAATAACTGTTGGTTTGTACAAATAGAACAGTCCTAGACAATTTTTCTCCAGCGTTTTTATATTCCTGATTACTGCATTCTCTGAAACTCTAATGTTTTACCATGACACCATAAGCGATATTTTCTTCACAGAAAAATATCCACTACATTTTAATATAGCATAAACAAATGGCATTATCTTCTGATATTCCACTACAAAAATGTACTGCATTAAATGTAGTTTTAAAACAGAAGAAAAGCCAGGATGGATACACTACCGCCATACTGGTTCTATCAGGAATTATCCATAAGTCTGCAATTTTAGCAATATACCCTTCTGAAATGTGCCTCTGACGTTGTGGGCCAATTTTCACCAACAAGTATTTCCATAAGAGAAGATTAAAGACAGGATGATACCACAGGTTTCTTGAGAACAGAAAGGAGCACTGCCTCCTTAAGTGCTGATAAGACTATTCTCTCCTTCAAGCATAATCCATCACTACCTGGATCCAATAATGTGTTCTCTTTTCAAAAATATTGATCAATCAGGAAGGACATGCATCTAAAACATAGTTGGCTGTGCTTATAGCCCCGAAGACCTTGTCTACCTCTTCAGTCTATATAACCAAGTCCATATAACTAATTTCCCAGCCCAGGTACCTTGAGATTGTTACTTTGAGTCCAACTAAAAATGAAACCAAGTAACTTTAACTAATAGATGCTTTAAATAACTTATGCATAGCCCCATGGATTTTTCACCAGTCCCTCCTTACCAAGGAGGGATTGAGATACCGCAAACAGGATTGCTGGCTATCTGCAGACATGATAAGAAAACTATTTGTTTTGTCGCTTTTATTATTACAAAGTAATTCTTAACAAAGCATTATTTAGTTTTGTTTGTTTGTTTTTGCTCTTTGGATACCACTTTGCCTGAGTGAACTTAAAAGGATTTTATTGTTTTAAAAGAATGTTTCATTATAATCTTCATCATATGAAAGACTATTGCACAGCTATCTCTTGTGATTTCAGGTTTTCACCAGATTTTCAGAATTCTTTCTTTTCTGGGTTTGTTTTTCCTTAGAACAGCAATAAAGGTACCTTGATAGAAGGGATAAATGCTCCAGATGGACAAACTAGGAATGTAAGGAGGATTAGTCTGATTACTGATAGTCTACTAATCTACTCTACAGTAGTCCACAGAAGCTTTCTTTTTTAAACTGGGCAATCTTTGGAAACTTTTTACCAACAAAGTAAAATCATCATCTCTACCAAGTTCATAACACTGATTAACAATAAAATAAAGAAGGAAACATACTATAAATTAGACTTTTCAAACCACAATGCCTTCTGAAAGTATAGGTATCCATTTCCAAACTTTCTGCAGACATGGCCATAGGTGAGATAATAAGAATTAAGATTAACATATCCAAAGGATGCCCAAGTTAAGATAGATTTCACAATCTCCATATTGTTTTCAAATCTAAGAAAGCAACTTATGGTAAGGTTTGTCTGGAAAAAGAAGCATTGCATTGAATACTGCTCAATGTACAGCAGTGGATAATTCAGTCTATGGTATCTGGTAAGATTAACAAACTAAAATAACACAGGTGATTTTAAAAAGAAAAATAAACTGCAATTTAAAAAATGGTTCTCTTTTGGAGAACAAAAAGAAAGAAAAGTCCTAAAAACACATTTAGTGCATACCTTCCTTGAACTCTGGGGCAAGATTACTCCATCATCCCAGATCCTGGCAGAAGAGTAAAATGCATTACTTTCATTTTGCAGCCTGGAAATATAAGAATTTGTTTTTTAAGAGACACATAGCTATATCTTCAGCTTTATATAAATGAAGATTCTGTATGGAATTATTATGTGCTTAATAAAAAAATGACAACATACAGGTTTTTTTTTTCCAAGAATAAGGAGCAAAGATTGATCATTAGGTATGTACAAAACCCGTTGTTGTGGGAATGTATCATTCTGGAGAATTCTGAAATATTCTATTTCTCCTCTAGATTACATTGATTCTGCTATCAGATGGTGGTTTCTGAAAGTTAACTTTACAAGTTAGGAACAGTCTATGCTATTCTGGAATACATAGACCAAACCAGATCTGTTTAAGTCACCATGAAATGACAAATGCACCATGAACAGCTATTTTGCACCAAACCCTTAGAATCCCAACAGCTATCAAGAGATTTTAGTTTTGGCTCATTTTGATGAGTTCTTTGGGTCATCAGTTCCTCAATTCATAAATGCTCTCCAAAATACAATTAAAAACGTGTCTTTCACTGCCAAAATCTGTCTATCTGTAATATAGTCACTTTGCCAAAGCATTTTCAGCACAAAAGATGCAGTAAAGACAGTTCAAATGTTTAAAGTTTAGAAGTTACACATTGAAATATCAATGCTTTAATGTTTTAATACACTTACTTTCCTTTTAATAATTTTAAGTCTATTTCTGGTTCTGAATAGTTATTGTTCCAGAGCTGTGTGAATGTGAAACAATGTCTTGAATCCACAAGGGCAATTCTTGCATTCGGCCAAAGAAACAGAAAGTTTGGATCAAACGATCTTCCACACTAAGAAGGTTAATAATATAAAAATAATTAATTCAGAACAAAGCTCATTTTAAGTTAGCTGAACAAATTGATGACTTATGGATAACATTTAAAATCACAGAAATACTAGGAAACTTAATGGCAGCATTTGGCTCAAAAATTAAGTAGGATCAGGGTTGACAGTACATGGATGGAAGATATCCAAGAATAGCAAGGATGCAAGACATATTGGTAAGTTAAAAACATTCTGAAAGAAGGAAATGGCAAACCACTTCCATACTACTGCTTAAGAATATTAAATGGATACGTCCATTTCATCACCAAGAGATGGTCTTCATTTCAGAAACGTAATTTTTATCTTAATAATTGCATGGAAATACTTAACAGGTTCCACGTTACAGACCTAAAATGACTGCAACAACTATAGCACTAATTAATGTGTATATTTTATAAAAAAATATCATGAAGCTGTTAAAAAGGAGCCTGAGTGGCATAGGAGGCTAATGCCTCCTACTAAGGCAGCATTTAACATCCAGCTGCCTGCAATTACTACGAGTTCAATTCTCACCAGGCTCAAGGTCAATTCAGCCTTCCATCCTTTCTAAGGTGGGTAAAATGAGGACCCGGTTTGTGGGGGCAATAAGCTGTATGAAATATACAAAAGTATGAAGGCTATTGCTTAACACATTGTAAGCCGCCCTGAGTCTCCGGAGAAGGGCGGCATATAAAAATAAAAAAAATAAAAAATAAAAAAAAGGAGGGAGCTTGTGTCAAATCTCACTTTTGTTTTTAAGCTATTAATTGTTGCAAACCTACTGAAAACCAGCATATCAGTTATTTTACATTATTTTTATTGTATAATAGAGACTATTCATTAATTTTATAAAAAGTGTTGTGCTATGACTGTTTGAAATTGGTGATTAGGACAGGCGAGCTGATTCTCACACATAATATCCTAAAATATCATCAGGCCTGAAGAATACTTTTAATCAAAGGACTTCTAATCAAAGGGCAAGAAACCTCAGATCACCCCCCCCCAAAAAACAGGATGTTCAGCATCTTACCATAGCATAACTTTCATTTCCTAAACAGCCACCAATCACAACTGTTATCTTTGGTACAGAGGCACAGGCAACTGCAGCCATCATGGAGGCCTGTGCCTTTAACCTATTAGCTTGATCTTCTGCCTAATTTAAAATGCAAACAATTGAGTTATTTTATTTTATATAGAACAAAGAGGTTCTATTTATTCCTTTTAATTAAAAGTTCACTTGATTACACTGCTCAATCAGTTCTGATTTGGAATAGACAGATAAGTTGCAAACAAATAAAAATAAAATGCCAGAAAATATTTCTCTCCTAACATCCTGTTAATATTTCCTGTTAATATTTAATCATTCGTCAGATGCTTTGTTTTTAGCATGCACAAATAGAAGAAATAAAAAGATATGACTTTTCAAAACAAATCCAAGCTATATTCCCAGTGAATAATTATCACTAGAGGTAAATATATAATTTCTTATGTTTCCATCTTGGCACAACAATTTTCATCTTAGAAACATAAATTGTCGTTACTGTTCATGCATCCTTTTTCTACAATGTGCTGTTAAATCAATGGAAGGGAATGGGAATCCCAAAGGTGCTTTTTCAAAGGCAACTGGACTTTCTGATTTTTCTTTGAAGACATTTCGCTTCTCATCCAAGAAACTTCTTCAACTCATTCTTGGATGAGAAGTGAAATGTCTTCAAAGAAAAAACAGAAAGTCCAGTTGCCTCCTGAATAAACACCTTTGGTCCAACCATGACCTGGATGACTGAGAATCTCCATAGACAATGGAAGGGAACCAGTGAGGACCCAGGCTAAACATGGACAAAGCATCGCAAGATCAGTTGAGAAAAAGAATAAGATCATTGGTGTTGGTATCTTGGGTCATGGGCAAGAATATCCCTTGTTATTTATATATTTATATATGCATGGATATGGAAAAGAAACTTACCTTGATCTAGTGACTGAGATGCATACAAACAAAATAAATAAATAAATAGTTATTTTAATAGAAAATCCAGCAGTAATGAATTAAAGCTCCACAGGAGAGACATGATATACTATCTCAGGATAATTAAATGTAAAGATCCTTCAGTTGTTCCCTTCATTTCTCTCAGAATCTACAACTATCAAAAGTGGCAACCAGTTTGCTAAAAGTTATAAAGAAAAGTATGTATTGGTTTAACACTAGTTACAAACCACTTGTCTCTATCCTAGCCAAATAACATCCTATGAAATATTTCACAATAATATCTCATCATTCCTCAGTTGATATACAATACTCAAGTAAAAATGGCCTAGGTTTTGGTTTTCATATTTAGATTTTGAGAGAAATGCCAACATACAAAGAATTCCTGCCTGTTGCAATAATATATAGCTATACTAAAAGAAAAAATAGAACCTGTGAACATGGTCTTTAAAAAAATCCATAACACCCACCCTTAACTAAGTGGCAGTACCAAATTGATCTTAACTGATTTAAACATGTAAAGAAAAGTTGACCTGGTTATTACTAGGATGGTGAGAGATATGCTAGAGCTATAGGACAAATTAGAAAAAAAAACATTCCCCAAAGGCATTGGAAAAACCATTTCCATACTGCTGCCAAGAAATCCATAGGGATACATGTGTGAAATCACTGTGAGAAGCTAAGCTTTACCTTTTTTTATATTCTTCTTGAAGGAAAACTGATCATTACTGAGCCAAAGGTTGCTTGGAACAGAGTTTAAAAGTCCACTATCCTAGATCTCTCTCATACTCCTACTTGGCATAATAGATATTAACTTTTTCTCAACTACTTGGGGCAGTAGAGATCTAGAATGGTTGTTAAGACTGTTGCTCTTCACTATCAAGACTCTGATCTTTTGAACTAATAAAGCTGAGCTTCCAAGTTAGAGCCACCTGAATGCATTCCGTATTAGTTACTTACCTGTATGGGATTAGTTGCCTCTGCAGTATATGGAGCAGTATTCATGAGAAACAGGATAGGAATGTTTCTTTGGCTACAAAGCTGTATGAAATGGCAACCTTTTAGAGAAGCATTCTGTGTCAGCTCACCATTGTTAGCCACTATTCCAACTAGTTCTCTAAGAAAAACATAAAATACAGTCTGTACTGCAAGAACACTGGCCATCCTGAGGTTTGAACAGCAAATGTTCTCTAAACATTTAATAAATATTATAAATAATATTGTAAAAAAGCTTCTGAAAATATGTCTGATCTGCCCACAAATTAGTTTGGAGGCTAACAATGCAGTGGCTTATATTTTTGCAAAGCTGTTTATTCATTAAATACTACATGGTTCATCAAAGGATGAATACATAAAGGAAATGGGCATTGGTCTTACCTTGAAGGGCAAATTTCTTTGATAGTTGTGTCATCGTCCAGATGTGGGCTGCTTCAGTCGGATCTGTCATTGGCTGAGCCATAGTTTTGTGACCACACCCCTTGCTCCTCCCTTTGGGGCCCAGTTTGGCGAAGGAGGCCACAGGAAAGATCTGCAACAGGAACCACCACCGTCAGAGATAGAAACTGGTCCAACGGGACAACTGGAAAATAAACTCCTTTAACATTAACAAACAAACTGTACAGGCCCTGAGACAGAGGGAGGGGATGGACGATGACACAACTATCAAGAAATTTGGCCTTCAAAGTAAAACCAATGCCCAATTTCCTTGATTTGGTTGTGTCATTGTTCAGATGTGGGACATACCAAGTTTTGGCAATTCTAAGGGCGGGATGACGAAGGGCCTGGGGAGACCTCTGTTCGGTGCACCTGTTGCAAAACCCTCCTGCCAAATGACGCTTCCACAGAAGCAAAGATATCTAACTTGTAATGTCTAATAAATGGCGAGGGGGTGGACCAGGTAGCCACCCTGCAGACCTCCTCGAGGGAAGCGAGTTGCCCAGGCCGCCGATGTAGCCGCACTCCAGGTGGGGTGAGCAGTAATTCGACCGGGAATAGGGACCGCCTGGGTTTGATATGCCGAAGCAATGCATGCTCTGATCCAACGACCAACAGTTGCAGAGGAAACCTTATGTCCTAGGGAACTTGGCAAAAAGGAGACAAACAAGGCCTCAGATTTTCTGAAAGGGGCAGTTTGTTTAATGTATATTTTTAGAGCCCTCTGCACATCTAAGGTGTGCCACTTTCGCTCCAAGCTATGGGAAGGTCGAGGACAAAAATTGGGAAGAATGATGTCTATGAAAAAGGGAATTAACTTTGGGAATAAAAGAGGTATCCAGTCTTAAGATGACAGTGTCAGATCTGAAGATACAGAGATCCTCTCTAACAGAGAGAGCTGCCAGCTCTGAAATACAGCGAGCTGAAGTTATGGCCACTAGGAAGGCTACTTTAAGAATGAGGAAACAAAGGTGGACCGTGCGGAGGGGCTCAAAGGGAGATTCAGTTAAGGCGTCAAGGACCCTGGGTAAATCCCAAGTGGGATACCTATGAATTGAGGAAGGTCGTAAGAGCCTGACTCCTCTTAGGAATTTTTTTATAACAGGGTGTTGAGTGAGTGGCTGGTCAGAGGGACTGGATAAGCCACCATGTGCCTTCTAAGGGTGCTGTGGGCCAGACTGCAGTCCAAGCCATCCTGCAGGAATTCTAGGACCTGGGGAGGGGAGGCTGAAAGAGGGTTGACCTGGCGGGACCTACACCATCTTACAAAGGCTAGCCAGGTGATACTGTAAAGCCTAACTGTGGACCTGCATCTACAAGCCTATACAGTAGGAATCACCCTATCTGAATACATGTCCCATTTTAGGAGGGCCCTTTCAAGTGCCAAGCAGTCAGTTGGAGCCACTGAGGTTCCGGATAGGTCATGACTCCTTGCTGCAGGGCGATCTGGTCTGATGGAAACCTCCAATGTTGTGATATGGAGAGATTGACCAGATCCACAAACCACGGGCACTGGGGCCAGTGTGGAGCTATGAGGATTATTTCCGCCCTGTCGGCGACCACCTTCCGAAGCAGAGCTTGGATCAGAGGCAGTGGTGAGAAGGCATAGTGAAGACCGGGTAGCCATGTGAGTCGGAAAGCATTGATCCTTTCCGCCTCCGGAGTCGGGAACCTCGAGAAGAAGCGAGGAAGTTGAGTGTTCAGGTTCGTTGCGAAGAGGTCTATGTTCGGAAAGCCGAACCTGTTGCATATTGCTTGGAAAATGTCCGGATGGAGCTGCCACTTGGCATTGTCTATCAGGGTCCTGCTGAGGAAATCTGCTTGGGTGTTCTCCGTCCCCACTATGTGATCTGCTCTGATGGAGAGGAGATGTTGCTCGGCCTACTTACCTAGACGAAACGATTCCTCCATGAGACATCTTGAGCGAGTCCCCCCTTGACGATAGACATGTGTTTTTGCAGCCATGTTGTCTGTCAGCACCAGAACGTGATGGTTTTACACAAACTGTTGAAATTGTGTGAGCTAGGCGGATGGCCTTCAGCTCTAGCCAATTTATAGGGTTGGTCAGGTCTGATGGAGACCAACGACCCTGAGCCACATGCAATTCGAGATGAGCTCCCCAGCCATGGAGACTGGCGTCTGTCGTGAGGGTGAGTCTGTTCTGGTCCATGAAGAGACATCCCTTGTCTAGAGAGGGCGATGTCCACCAGTTTAGCGATCACCTGACTGAGAGTGGGACTCTGACAGTGGCCATGGTGTGAGCTTGATGCTTTCTTTGGAAAGGAAGTAGAAACCACTGCAAGTGTCAGGTGTGAAGATGTACCTAGGGAACGATCTGAATGTAGGAAGTCATCTTGCCTAGAAGTTTTGACAAGGTGGCCAATGGAACAGAAGGTTTTTTTTTTAATGTGAGCTATCATGTCTTTGATATCAGCTCGTCGTTCCAAGGACAGGTAGACTGCGCCTTGATGTATATCGATAATGGCGCCCAGGTGGACAAGTCTGTGGACTGGCACTAATTGGCTCTTTTTGTAGTTGACCAGGAACCCGTGTTCGTTCAAAGTTCGAATTGTGATATTTAGATCGTGTAAGGCTTGGTCATGAGAGTGAGCTAGAATCAAAATATCATCCAGGTAAGCCTGGAGTCTTACTGGTTGTTGTCTCAGGTGAGCTGCTATGACCGCCAAGATCTTTGTGAAGACCCTCGGGGCCGATGCCAGTCCGAAGGGAAGGGCTCGGTACTGAAGATGTTTCCCTGCGTAGCTGAAGTGGAGATCCTGTCGATGCTTTGGCAGAATGGGAATGTGAAGGTAAGCCTCCATGAGATCTATGGAAACTAGAATCGTTGGGACAAATCCCCTGAAGGATAGAGTTTAGTGAACACATTTTGAATCTGCGATACACTATGTAAGAATTGAGAGACTTTAAATCCAGTATTGCCCTCCACCACCACCCCCTGACCGTTTCGGAACCACAAACAGAATAGAGTAAAACCCTTGCTTCCATTGGCTTTGGGGAACCTCCTCTATGGCGTGTATTTGCAGGAGGTGTTGAACAGCTTGGTCCATCAGATGGCGTCTGGACTCGCTGCTGTAAGGTGGGCACTGAATGAAACGGGCTGGAGGTATGGAGAGAAATTCCAGAGGGAGGCCAAATGTTACTATAGAGAGGACCCAGAGATCTGGGGTTGAGGCTTTCCACCTGTCTGCGAAGAGGGCCAGGCGGCCTCCAATGGAAGGATTTGCCAGTGAATCACTTATGGCCACAGGACTGGCAGTAGCCGGAGCCGCAAAAGGACCGTTTAGATTGTGTGAATTGCTTGCCCCTATCCCAAAAGGACTGATGGTCCGAGGACCGACTTGATCCCTGAGGGTATCCCTGCTGGGAGGTGCTTCCTTGGTAATAGGGACGAAAGGATGCCCTCCTGTAATAAGGAGAGGCCCATCTGTCAACATGTGTAGATGTTGAAGGCAGAACCTTATGCTTGTCCCGTGTTTCAATAAGGAGAGGATCAAGTGACTCACCAAATAATTTCTCCACAGAGTAGGGAGCTGCAGCCAAACGCCATTTGGCCCGAAGATCTGCTGGCCACTGATGGAGCCAGATCATCCTGCAGGCTGATACAGTAGAGGCTAGGGCTCTAGAGGCAAATTTGGCCAAATTTAGAGTGGCATCAGCTGAGAATTGAGTAGCAGCTATGATTTTATTGATATCCTGATGGAGGTGAAACTCACTAGGGGGCACTCTTGTTTGCAATTGCTGAAGCCAAAGGATGGTTGAACGGTTGAAAAAGGAGGCTGAGGCAGCCGATTGAATTGCCCATGCTGCACCTTGGTGATTTTTTTTCCGCAGGAAATCTAATTTTTTATCCTCTGGTCGTAGACCTTCAGAGGTATCCCGTCACATAGGAGGAGGAAGATGAGAGAGCCGCTACAGGGCTGTCCACTGGAGGGACTTGCAATAGCTGAGCAAATTTGGGTGCAACAGTATAATATTTCTTATCTGAGGCAAGGGCAGAGGCCATGGTTGCAGGACTAGACCATTGTTTCTTAACCACATCTATGAATAATTGAGGAATTGGAACAAAGGTTTTATGACCCTGGTGAGTTCCTTGCATTTCTTTAATGTAATCGTCTTCTAGAGCCACAGTAATGTAACAGAGACTTAAATTTGTTAGGGGGAAATAAACCTGTGAAGGTAGGTTGATCCTGAATTACTCCCTCATCATCTGATAAATCAGAATGGTGATCCTCCTCCAATGCAAAAGTTTCACTTGCTCTAGAAGCTGCAGGGAAATGAGAGCCAGTGAGGCTAACTGCAGGAGAGGCTCTAACATGAGTGGAATGCTCAGAAATTATTGAGCCAGAATGATGGCCTTGACAGACATCCGCCACCCGAGAGGCGATGGCCCGATCAATTAGGACTTTTAAGCTTTCAGGCAAATTTTTAAAAGGGTCCTCTGAGTTCTGTTCTTGCAAGGGCGACTCCCTTGCAGCATGAACTGGTGCCACATTTCTGCCAGAATCAGGAGTAGCAGGAGTAATTAATTTACTTGCAAATGGATTTTGCAGAGTGCCTTGTTCTTCCTGTAGAAGAACCCCACCCTCACCTTCTGAAGACCAAACCTGGTGAACTTCAACAACAGGGAGGGGGGGAGTAGTAGGGGAGGAGAAATCTCCTTACTGGCCACATGAACAATAGCCTTTATAATGTGCTTTTCTAAAGCTTTATGTCTCCATTCCAAATCTTTTTCTTCTGCTTTAGAAGAGTGCTTACGTTTGCAGGCTGCTTTTTTTCCTGGAGACATGGTATTTCCCTCCCCTTGGGAAGAACACTCCGCCATTGCAATAGTATACTCACTGCAACCAAGATGTCGACTGGAAAGATTTAGTTTCACTTTCGCCACGTGGTAAGAGAAACAAAAGGCGGAGGCTCTGGCGTTTTGCTCAATGGCTACCAGGCAACACGTGAGCAGGATATACGCTGCTCTAGAGGTGACTGTACAGGAGAACCTAGAAACAGCCCCTGTTAAGTGCCTAAATTCCGGGCTGTAATATTGCCACGTGGAGAGTGCAAGGAAACCTTACAACTCTCCTCCTATAGAAGCTCCGTTGGTGGTATAGGAGGATTGAGGCCAAAAACGTTAAAAAACCTATGGACTTGTTGGTGGCAAAGCGGCAATTATTACCTTCCTGAAGCGCCGTGGCACTTCAAAGGGCCACCCTACAGCTGATTAGCGGTCTGAGAGCTGAGGGCAGCGGTGACGGCCGATTTTAGTGATTCTGGGGTTTTTCCCAGAAATTCACTACAAACATTGGTGGCAAAGTGGTTTAAAACACCTGCGCTTTCATTGGTGGTATAGGGCTAAAAAGCCCCACCAAAGGAAAAAAGTTTTTTTTAAAAAAAAAAAGTGCACGAAAGACTTCCAAAATGGCCGCCGCCTGGAGCAAGTGAAGTCTGATAGATCAGGCTGCTCCAATACAGGGTATACCGGTAGGCTACAAAAATACAAAAAAAATTTTTTTTTAACTAGCGTGGTAGACCGGTACCCTCAGAAAAAATACAAGTTAAATTTAAAAATTAAAGTCTAAAGAAGAATTAAGGAATTAAAAGGTCAAAAAACTTACGATTTAAATGAAATCGAACAGACCTGGGCTGAGAGCCAGATCTGTAGGAGATGTTACTCTCAGGCCATCTGAGCCTAAACTGGGCCCCAAAGGGAGGAGCAAGGGGCTGGTAAAAAAACTATGGCTCAGCCAGTGACAGATCCGATGGAAGCAGCCCACATCTGGACGATGACACAACCAAATCAAGGAAATCACTGGTTTTTACTGATGTGATATTTATACAAAAAAATACAAACAAACCAGTTTCAAATACCAATACAGGAAATAATTAAATGTGTTTGCTACAGAATTTCAAGCTCTTGGTGCATTTTTAGCCCTAACTTATTTTTATGTTGAACCATTAAAAAAACCATCTTAATAAATTACATTTTCACCACTGGGGAAATCAAGGAATTTAAATTTGCAGTATGCTTTATTAATCCTGGCAAAATAATTTACTTTCTAACCCTATTTCAAAATCAGGTTAATATTATCAGAAAGTATTAGGATTTAAAAAATAGCTCTTTCACAAACTAAATTAAATTTAAATATTTGTTTAAAGGTTTGAAGGGCTTATGAGAATAGCCTTATTAACACTTCTAAAGAAATAAAACTTGTTGCTTAGGACAAGATTAATTTTTACAATGTATTTGTACTGGGAGAATTTCTTCAGGTTCTTTCTTGTTATATTATAAATACATACTGGTCTAAACTCATCTTAAACAGCTGGTTTTATAGACTGGGTTTTCTGCACAAAAAAACATTACATAAGAATAGAGTATCACTACATTGCTAAAATAGAAGTAGCCCAATAACGTCTATAGGATTTAGTTACCAGTATACTGAATGGACTAAAACAGAGATGATCAAAACATCACTACACTTAGAAAAAAAAACCCAGCCTTATCTAATACTATATTTCATTCTAAAGAGGCTGTATATGTATGAATACTGAAGAATACTGTAAGAATGAATGTTATGAAAGACTTGCAAAGCTGCAATGTTATGTATGAAAAAAAAATTCTTACTAATATTTGTCAAGATCCTTCTTTACTCAATAATTTAAGGCTAGATGAATACTCATAATCAAGCATCACTGAAGAATACAGCAGGGAGAAATACTTTCACACAAAATACTTTGAAAAACAAATTGAGCTTTTGAAGGGAGAAAAACTGGAAGAGGACTTTGTTATGTATCATTAGTACTGTGGCAGCTAATACAAACACACAACATCAATGATAGTCTAGTTACCACTCGTATACCATTTAAAAAAACCTTCCCTTTTTACAACCCTATAATCCCTTAATTCAGGGTAGAGTCGGGGTGACTGGATGGAGCTGAACATTTTCTGGCCAGATGCCCAGCATTCACATACTATATGCAATAAAAATATTGTTGTAGGGAAGATTAAAAAGCAGATTTCCCTAGGAACTGATACAACAACAATACGCAGAGGACTGCAACTACCCAATGATTTTATTATATAAAACAGTGTTTTTCAATCTGTATTCAGAAGAATCCTTAGGATATGCTGGAACTTGATTAGGATCCATGAGAAACTAAGGACAAAAATAAAAGGTCAGTTCAGCTGAGTGAATTTTCTATCACAAGACCTTCATTCCCGACTCTAGGGGGTGGTGCTCATCTCCATTTCTAAGCCAAAGAGCCAGCGCTGTCTGGTGACAATTCCGTGGTCATGTGGCCGGCATGATTAAATGCCAAAGGCACACAGAACGCTATTACCTTCCCACCAAAGATGGTCCCTATTTTTCCACTTGCATTTTTTACGTGCTTTCGAGCTGCTAGGTTGGCAGAAGCTGGGACAAGTAACGGGAACTCACCCCATTACGCGGCACTAGGGATTCGAACGCTGAACTGCCAACCTTTTGATTGACAAGCTCAGGGTCTTAGCTTATAGGGCTTCAATTAAAAAAATATTCATTTTTTGAAGATTATTTTTGGATGCTGGCAGTAATTTGCAGCACATAGGCTTCCAACTTCAAAAAATTAAAATATTAATTAAGGAGCTTTTAAATGTTGGAAGGGGCAAGGAGTCTAGTGTGCATCAAGAAAGGTCTTGCAGCCTAAAAACAGGCATAAAGGAAATAACATTTGGCAGTAATTAAAATTAAGATAACAATAAAAGTGGAATATATCTGATTTTTGCAGATAAAAGGGTTTTCACAAAGATAAAGTACATCTGATTCTTAGTCAGTAGAATTATTTTCAGTGCAACTCTATAAACTTAATTCAGAAGTAAATCCTGCAAAGTTCAAAGATGATTACCTCAGTATAAGCATACTTAGGATTTCAGCATCTGAAATGTGCACATATTACAATACTGGGGTTATCTAAATAAAAGGACTCAATTATAGTTAATAAAATTAAATCATTTATTTTGAATAATGCATTCATAAAAATTATTAAAATAAGTTGGCCAGTTATTTCAAATTTCACTCTCACCCTTCTATGTAGGCAAATCCTGTTACCAAAGTTATACCATAATTAACTTTGAATTCTTGGAATCTGCTGCCATCTATTATCCGACTCAGAATCTGTAAAATATTGTTAAAGAAATGAAAAATCAGCATGAAGTCACTTTTCTTCAATAAAAAAAATATTGGCTCATTTTCAATTTTGTTTGATAAGAAAATCAAATCAAATACAGAATTACGTATAAATGTTTAATTTGATGCTTAGGCATCAAATGTATACTCAGAATTTAATTTTATTTTCAGTCCTGAAAATCCTTCTTTTAATTAATTAAATCACTTCAACAGAATATCTACACTTAATGTAGAGTCCTTTGAGGGATATGGGTGTTTCAAAAATCTTGAAAAATTAATTAAAATATAATTGCCAGTAACAATAACGGCACTAGTCTATTATAGCAAAATTAATAAAAATCCTAATAAATCCCTAAACACTTATTTTAAGTATAACATCTCTGGAATTTTAGCCAGCTTTTTTAGATGTATACTATAACCATCACTGAAAAGTAAACTTATATGTGAAAATATAGGTTTACACTTCATATATGAAATAGACTCTGACCCACAAAAATGTACCATAATAAAACTTAAGATTTTAAAATGCTCGTTATTGTTTTCAGCAATAAAATAAGCTTCCATGAATGATCTAAGCAGGTTAAGGATCTCAAGACTTCTGTTTTAATCACTGATTTAAATACCCAAATAGGCTGCTCAGTCTTTCTATATCAGAATGATGTAAATCAATTTAACTGTGTTCCTGCAACTGGATTCTTACCAATTTTATATGTAATGTGTAACTATAATCTTGTGGTGCAAGTCCTAGGAGGTCATCATCACCATACAAGGGATTATCAAATTCTAGACTCTCTTCTATAGGAATTACATAATTCAGTGTTGAAATAGCATTTTTAATATATTCAAATGCTTCTTTTTCAGAAGTTGCGAAATGATCAACACAGCCACTGATCCTAAAAGAGAGATTTCCTTTATATATAAAACTAGTATAAAATACAACATTCAGGTTAAACCATTAAAATATTAGTTTTAATAGTGAAAGCATGAAAAACTAAGATCTATTTCAAGTAACAGCGAGACCCATGAAAAATATTAAATATTACTTTTCATTATGCTACTTCAAAATGCAGATTTGAAAATATTGCCAGTATATAAAAGCTTATATGAAATACAGTAATTTCAATAGAGATATGCCTATGTTCAAGGCAACTTGGCAGTCACTCTTCCTAAGTCAGATGGCTTCTCATGTATGACTTAGTTATGGGCAATACATCATACTAATAAGACTATGCAGCAATCTGGATTTGAAGGACAAAATGTGATTTAGCTTGCATTTAAGTAGCTATTACTTAAATGCTTATAGCACCTTAAAAGTAGCTGCATCTTTTATCCAGCTCCATCAGCGATCTCCACTGGTGACATACTATTATGGGAAAGATATATTTGGTTACAGGCATTCTCAATAGACAAATGGAACATGCTGATGCATCCTCCAAATCACAATTTGCATCTATATAGCTGCACAAATACTATTACTATTATTACAGCATTCACAAAAGTTAGAAATTTTGTTTTCAAAGCAGGTAATGGGACTGAGCCCTTTATGCATTTGAATCAAATTAATTCTGTATTGGCAAAGCTTAGTTTCGACTTTTAAAAAGTTCTTCATTCTCATGATGTATTCATTCACATGAATGGAAACAGTTAAGAAAGGGAGGGGAGAAGGGAATGGATGATGTTGGGAAGATTGGGAATAATGGGGGGGGGGTGATTTTATTTTTTATACTATATTAATTTATTTGATTCTTTTTATTAGTTTTATTGTTTTAAATGTGATTTTATATTCTGTAAACCGCCTTGACTCACCATGCGTGAATAGGTAGCAATATTAATTAATTAATTAATTAATTAATTAATTAAATAAATAAATAAATAAATAAGACAGCGTAATATGCCGGGCTGAAAATCTGTTCCTTTCTATAGTACTGAGACCATCATAATAAAGTACAGAAGCTCAAGCCAGTAAATCTCTTGGAGAGGCAATGGAAGGAGGGAAGAGAAGAAAAAGCTGGAAAGAAGATGGTGATAGGTTGCCCAACATTCAGGCTATGTAGAGGAGGGTAAAGAGGAAAATGTGGGCCAGCCCTACCTACTCCTCCTGCAGATCTGTCTATATACTGTTTGTGTCAAAACTTGGAACAAGAACCGCCAATATATCCTGGCTTTGTTTCTGCACTACTATGGCTGATCCAAAGTGGTTTAGCATATAATCCAATATGAGGCACATTTTTTTTCAGATTAGACAAAATGATGCAGGGTATGTTATGTAGGGGCCATCTAGTGGGACCAAGAAGAGGGCCTTCTTAGTCCCACCAAGAGAGGGTGACACTCCCTCTCTGTGGAACATCATCCCTGTGGAGATAGCAATACCGATAGCGCTTAGATTTATATACCGCTTCAGAGTGCTTTACAGCCCTAAGCGGTTTACAGAGTCAGCATATTGCCCCCAACAATTTGGGTCCTCATTTTACCGACCTTGGAAGGATGGAAGGATGGAAGGCTGAGTCAACCTTGAGCCGGTGAGAATCAAACTGCCAAATTGCAGTCAGCCAGCAGTCAGCAGAAATAGCCTGCAGTACTGCATTCTAACCACTGCACCACCACGGCTCAGAAGATTGGCTCCTGCCTTGATTTTCTTTCAAAAAGTCCAGAAGACAGGGGGATATGGAGCCCATCGAGTGGTTTTTTTTATTGTTGTCATGGGAGGGGGTGTCCACTGAGTTTTGTATCTGGGGTTTTAGTTCTGTTAAGTAGCTTAGAGTCACCGGAGTTACCAGAGTTGAGCGGCCATATCACTATATTACCATTTTGTACACACACCCTATTTTGTTTCCAGTCTCCTGACTATTTTGATAATTCTCCTCTGGACATGTTCCAGTTTGGCAATTTCTTTTTACATTGGCTTTGAAATATGCTTTTCAATACCGATAGTTTGAGTATATTTCAGGCAAACCTTCATTATAGAAAATTACCTATGACAGAATGTACAATTCAATCAATATTAAGAGCTGAGAAACTAATGTTTTACTTAGCATGCACACTGGCTCCTCCTAATTCCTCAGGATTAGTATCTTCTCCTGTGGCTGCTTTAACTAAAGGGGGACCACCAAGAAACACTGTCCCAATTTTGTCTACAATGGATGTTTCTTCTGACATCACAGGAATATAAGCACCTCCAGCAGTACAAGAGCCACATACAATTGACACCTAGAAGACACAAGATAGCTGTGTAAGAAAAAAAATAAATCAAATTAAATTTAAATTTCTAAGTAAGTTCTATAGGCATGCTGTCTTCGTAACATATTCTGGAGAAGCATTTAGTAATTTCAGAAAACCCCATAGACATACAAGAATAAAGATTTTTATTTTAGGATACAGAATCAAAACTCCCTTCTAAATTCTACATTATAGCAAAAATATTTAACATATAAACAGTATATTAACAAACAAAAAAAAGCATGTGTGCACATCTCTATCTATCATATATCTCTGGTAATAATGGAAAATCTGTACTTGGTTTGATATAATACCCCAAAACAAACACAGACTATTGGAATTTTGAAATGACTTGTTTGTTTCTGAATAATTGTATATGATCCACTTACTGTGCCCCAATAATTCATTGCAGAGAACAAGATAAAGAAGCTATATAAATGCTTAATACCTTCATTAAATCATTAACCAGAGAGTATCTACAAAATGTTTTCTGAATCATAACAGAATTCCAGCACATGAAAAACAATAGCTCTTCTGAAATTATTAAGTGCTATGCTCAACAGTTGTTTATTCTTCTGCTTATTACTTAATTTTGCTGAAAATACATTTTGAAATGTACTGTCCAATATAATATTATACCTGAGGGATTTTCAGTGCAGACATTACAGCCTGATTATAGAATATTCGGCCTCCATGGAATTGGTCAGCAAACAGCTCAGCCTAACAATTCAGAGGCAGAAAAGAGGAAAGGAAAATAAGCGTCAGCAATGTATAAATTTAGAACCTATACATATCATAATTTTGCATTTTAACAAAAGTCATATTATGTTTCTGTATTTCCTTCACCCAGGTTTAGAAAAGCAATATTATACAGGTAGTCCTTGATTTACAACCATTCGTTTAGTGACCATTCAAAGTTACAATGGCACTGAAAAAAGTGACTTATGACTGCTTTTCATACTTATGACCATTGCAGCATGTCTGTGTTCAACATGATTAAAATTTGGATGCTTGGCAACTGACATGTATTTATGACGGTTGCAGGGTCCCTGGGTCATCACCTTTTGCAACCTTATGATAAGCAAAGTCAATAGGGAAGCCAGATTCACTTAACCCTTTACAGCAGTGGTCCCCAACCTTTTTATCGCCGCGGCCCGCTGAGCGCACGCAGGGGTGGGGGCACGGCCCAGGAGCTTTTGCACACGGCCCATTGCGCATGGCCCAGGAGCTTTTGCGCACGGCCCAGGAGCCTTTGCGCTGCAGCGTTCATGTCCCCCGGCCGCTGTGCGGCCCGGTGCCAGGTACTCCACGGCCCGGCACCGGTCCGCGGACCGGGGGTTGGGGACCACTGCTTTAGAGAACAAAAATAAAGTTACATGGTAAAAACCTCCTCTCCATTAATTTGCTTATGTTTCCAAACTAAAGCAAAAGGATCAGATACTACCACAAAATGAATACAGAGTGTGCCTTCCTATGCAATTAAATAAAAATAATTTATAAGGCATTGTGTTGGGAGCCCAATCTGTTTTACTTGTCTCTCTGAAGAAGAAAGCAATGAAAAGGGGAAAAAACTATGTTTCCTAATTGTTGTAGAAAATCTGCATTCAATTTTCAGTTCTTATAAGACTGCATGCAATATCAAAAACATTTCTGTCTGCTATTGGCAAAAATTTAACATGTAATTTTTGTACTGAATGTTGTGACTCTCTCTGGAAAACAATATTTGCCTGGCAGCGAGGCATAACTCTTCTGTATATATGCATACTCACATATGCATACAAAAGCATGCATCATGAAGCTATGATAAATCTGCTATTACTGTAATAATAATACTGTACTTCATTTTATATTTATAATTTGAATCATGTACAACATTCAAGCAAATTCCATTATACAATGGCAATTTCTGTGCCTAAGCAATGTGGTTGTAAAATGTGATATTACATGACCAGATTGCTTAGTGACGGCAATCTCTCCAGTCCTCACTGTCAGCCCTGTCCCTACTTGGGTGTTTAGGAACAAAAGACCCTTGACTCCATTTGTAGCGAAAGGTATATTTTTACTAAAGCCAAGTGGTTACAATGTAAGCATAGCCAGATCTGAATATTCCTGTGTAAACCCAGTAATTTTTTCCTTCTCCCAGGTCCTCCACCCCTTGGTCATCTAAATGTCCAATGGTATTCAAATTGTTAGATGACAGTTCATTATGTTCTATGATTGCTTAATTTAAATCTATTCATTACAGATATTTTTCAATGTGCAGTTTGCTGACTCAAATTTTTAGTAACAAACTTAAATGCTTAGTCATAAGGAGGTAGACAGACAGACAGACAATCTATATTTGATTCTGCTCTTGTGATTTGAGTTTGTATTCTACCAATATATTCTTGGACCCAGGAAGGAAAACCACACCAGAAGCTGAAAAGAATATTTTTAATGTAGATTTCAAAAACTTAACATACTGTGTACGTATTTGTGAATAAGCCAAAAATTTTAGGTGTCAAAATACACCTTAAAAATTGGGTTCGGCTTATCCATGGATAGGCTTGTTCAGAAGTACATAAGGCATTTTTTAAACTACAGGTAGAACTTGATCTATATGACCGGTAACTTAGTGACTGTTCAAAATTACAATAGACTCTCCAAAAGGTAGTTGTGGCCTGCTTCTGAAATTCTCAAAGCCAGCCCCACCCCACCCCATCTCATGATGACCAGCCCGCATTTACAATCATTGGTTTAGGAACTGGGTACTTACAAGATCGCCTTCTGCTACCGATAGCCTCCCACCGACCAATACGCTCCCACAGAGAGGGACTCCTCAGGGTGCCATCGGTCAAACAATGTCAACTGGCAACCCCCAGGGGGAGAGCCTTCTCTGTGGGGGCACCTGCCCTCTGGAATGAATTGCCCCCGGAGATACGGATGGTCCCTGACCTACACGCCTTTCGCCGTGCCCTCAAGACATTATTGTTCCAACAAGCTGGGCTGGCCTAAATATGAATTTTAATGGTTGTTTTAGTTTTTTAATAATAGTGGGGCCAGATTATTTAATATATTTTAAATTGTTTTTAAATTTTATGTATATGTGTGTTTTATTGTTGGTGTGCACCGCCCTGAGTCCCTCGGGAGAAGGGAGGTATAAAAATTTAAATAATAAATAAATAAATTTGTAACTCCTGCAGTCACAAGACTACAATTTACGTTTTGCCAAAACCTAGAATTTACTTTCCAATTTTATCAAGTGTGAAAAACTACACCCACTTGGAGAAGTTTCAGATTACTGATTTATTATTAAAGCATGTGCACAGGAATCTCTCAGACTAACAGTTAGCACCTGATTAGAATAAGTGTCAACAGCATTCAAGTATGTAACGATTCTAAACTGATGCTTCTTTTAACTCATTCCCCTGGCTCTGCTAGTCCTCCTATAGGTTTTTGGTACAAAATTCCATAATGAACAAAGGGTTCTCTTAATGACCACAGCATTCATTTAATGACTGCTGCATAAAAAGACAGTAAAATTGGATTATCACATATGTGAAAACAATAAAGAAAAAAGACATCATAAAAAATCAGCATGGTTCCACAAAAAGCTCTAAGACAAATTGAGGAACAAATATAAAAAATGGAAAGAGGGTCACAAAACTAAAACAGGATACCAGCAAATAGCCTGAATCTGTAAGGAAATAGTTAGGAAAGCTAAGGCTCAAAATGAGTTAATACTGAGAACTAATGCAAAAAATATATATAATTAAGAAGTTTCTTTCAATATATAAGGAACAAGAAGGAAGTCAAGGAAACAGCTTAACATCAATACTGGGGAAAAGCTTCAAAAAAATAATCAAGTAGAAGATCTTTGAGCACATCTGCCAAGACTTATGACTGTAACTGGCAGGCTCCATTACAGTCATAAGTCAAGGACTACCTGTACCTGTATATCCTGTATATCCTTACATATATGAATGAGATGCATATATAAGATGACTTTCAAATTTTTAACCAAACTACTGTGAGAAATGGATGCTCTGTGAATTACCCAGAGATTGGCCAATTGTGGAAATTAAAACAAATGAAAATTTGAGTTGGCTTATTGAAGGTGGCACATTTTTCACAGTACTTTGGTTAAAAATGTGACAGATAGGCTTATACACCTATCCGTCTTATAAGCCTTATATGCCTAAGTCTATACAATATTATATGTAATTATAACTTATTTGTTATATTATTGTTTTACCTGAAGTGGCAAGAATGCTCCCCCACTGTCTACCACGTAGACAAATGGAAGTTTATTTTTAATTGCTATTTCTTGAGATCTTAGTATTTTCTTCAGTGTAATAGGATAAATGGTTCCACCTTTTATTAATGAATCATTTGCCATGAAACAACACCAGATTCCAGATATTCTTCCAATTCCTTCAACAAAAGTGAAAAGAATTATCATGAGAAAAACATTAGCAGGCTTTCTACAAATGTAAATAATTTATAATTGTATACAATTTTAAGGTATACTACAGAATATTCCAGTTAGTTTTTGATAACTTTTGTAACTGAGCTACCAAGGAGATAGCTTGATTTTCAATATCTGCTGCATCACTATGATGATAGGGTTGAAAAGCAGAGACAAAACAAATAACTCGTTTTTTCAAAATCCCCAAATACTGTATTTTTCGGACTATAAGACACACTGGAGTATAAGATGCACCAAGATTTCAAAGAGGTAAACAAGAAAAAAAAGGTTTTTGCCCTCCCCGGCCCCAGGAGTACTCTGCAGGCCTCCCAAACCTTCTGCACATCCTGTTTTTGCGAAAAGTCAATTTTTCCCAAAAACGGGACGCGCAGAGGGTTTGTGAGGCTTGCAGAGCGCTCCTGGGGGCTGGGGAGGGCAAAAATGTGGTGTGCGGGGGGGTTTTGGAGGCCAAAAATGAGGTGCACAGAGTGTTTGGGAGGCTTGCAGAGTGCTCCTGGGCCCGTTTTTGCCCTCCCAAAACCCCCCCGTCACATTTGTGCCCTCCCCAGTCCCCAGGAGCACTCTGCAGGCCTCCCAAACCCTCTGCACATCCTGTTTTTGCGAAAAACAGCTCCGTTTTTGGAGAAAACGGGACGGCACGGGGCGGGCTTTCAGGAAGGCAAAAATGGCTGTATTCGGTGTATAAGACACACCAACATTTCCACCCTCTTTTTTGGGGGGGGGAGTATGTCTTATACTCCGAAAAGTACAGTATATTAAAACCAAATTATCCTGAAAACTCAGTTTGTGCCCCAATTTTATTTTGCTCTCCTTTTAGTTATTACCTTTGTTTTAAATATAATTTGCTTCTATCAACTTGAACTATTTAATTCATTAATAATTTGGTTTTCAACCGATCTGTCTATAATTTATATTTATTTCTGAATTAATTGATACAATTTTGGAGCTGCTTTTCATTTTAAATTTACAATATTTATTAATTTATTCCAGGTTATTCTATTTATAACTATGTTCAATCTACTTGCTGTTCTTATTGTAACAATGTGACTACCAGATGTTCAGCATTTAGTGGGTTAGGGTCAGAGGATCAGAGACCAATCTTGTCATTTATTATAACACCAACAGCAAGTAGATATACCGATGACCAATTTACACACCATGATACAACTAGCAAAGCCACTGGGGCCCTCTGTCTTTCTTATCTGATTGTTTCTTAGGCAGTATCTCTTCTCATCATTCCTCAAGGTCATCCACACATTGTCCCATTTACAACTTTCCCAGAGTATCGTCCCTGATCACAGTACTAAAATTCAGAGATAAAATTGACAATTTTCATCCAATTTCCTGTTTTTGTATATGTTTAACACAGGTTAAATGGGTACGTTTAAATTTTACATCTTTTCATTTACCTCTTAAACCATCTTCAAGCACTCCAAAAAAAACCTAAACATTTCAGTCTTGCATATTCTGCCAATAACATACCATTGCCATGTTTTCTAGGATCTCAGTCACCAGTAAATATCACAGGCTTTCTCATCATAAATTATATCATTCTTCCAATCTTGTATATTAAATTCTGCTTCTAATAATTATCTGCCACTTATATACAATGGGTGGTACAGCTAACCAGAAAACCTACAGATTAGCTAGGTATTCAGAAATTTTCAATTACTAAAAGAAATATATATAATGTTATTTTAAAAGTATCCATTTTAAGCACATCTTCACCTAGAAAAGTGGTAATTGTAAGCTGGTGTGAATTTGGGTCAAACTATGACAATTTTATAAGATGTATCTTAAAAACCCCAAAAATGTGTCTAAGAAGTCACAAAATTCATACTGATATCTCCCCTAACTCTGTATTCAAAAGTATATCTTTCAATATGCATCAAATTTCTTTTCTTTTTTATTGCTGTCATTATTGACAGAAAGTCCAATTCCTACCACATCTGAACTGGTTAGGAGTTTTGGACACACAAATGATGTTATGTATAGGTAGCCCTTGATTTATAACCACTCGTTTAGCAACCATTCAAAGTTGCAATGGCACTGAAAAGAGTGACAATAGGGCCTCACTCTTATGACCATTGTGACATCTCCACAGTTGCATGTTCAAAATATGGGTGTTTGACAACCAACATGTATTTACAATGGTTGCAATATTCAGGGTCATGTGATTACCCTCTCAGTTTGCTCCTGACAAGGAAAGTCAATGGCAGAAACTGGATTTGCTTAATGACCACATAACTACAGGGATTCAATTTTAAAAAGTGGTAAAAAAGATCAGAAAATCAGGCACTACACACTTAACAATTGCCTTGCTATGCAACAGAAAGTCTGGTCCCAATTGTGGTTGTAAAATCAATGACTACTTGTACATTGAATTTCCCTTTATACCAAGAGTGGGCAACTCTGGAAATTTTACGAGCTGTGGACATCAATTCCCAGAATTCCTGGGCCAGTTATGCCTTATACAAAACTTACCAGTAATACATCCTCCAGCAGGAATATCACCATAGGGCATATTAAGCCCTGCAAGAGGAGAAAGCTCAAGAAAAGATTCATCATCAAGAAGCAATTTTAAGCGTTCATGAACAAGCAATTTCTTTTTCCTCTGTGTATGAATCAATATTGCATTTTTTGTTTTGCTTTTGACCTTCTCAGATAGCTCTGAATATCTAATATGAAAAAGAAACAGTCAAGAGACCAGAAATATTTCCCAAATCTCCTTATCAATGTTCTTATAGATGCTAAACAGCAGTATGTATATTATTTTGCTATCATACGGGTATGGTAGGGAAATAATGCGATTGTATATAGTTAGATGAAAATTCCACATACTTAATAGTTACTAGTATTTTTATTATTCAGTATGTAAAGAAAAATAAACTTATATGAGAGTCTGGTAGAAATAAAACAGCCTGAATTAGCATGCTTAATTGTTCATGGTAAGCCAAAATTCTTGGCAAAACTGGCTGCTTCCTGACATATAAGCATGCCATTCTTGATTTAGATTTGACTACTGGTATGTCTGATCTGTTCTATTATAAAGAAATCTTTTGCCATGATAGTGAATATCCCAGATCTTAAAGAAATCTACCATTTAAAAATACTTCATTCTGATTCTTGGATTTTGGCTTTCTCAAAAGATTCTCTGGAAATTATTAAGCTGTAAGAATTTATGAAAAGTTATTCCTTTGCCTTCATGTTACTCTTTCAGTTCTTGTTAATGACTCTGAATAAAATCCTTGTAAAGTTCTTGCTTTCTCTGTTTTTATCTGTGGAACATGTTTAACTGAAGTAAACAGGCATTCATTTGGTAGGATTTTACAAAAGATCGAGTAATTACAATATAAATATCTTGCATTCAAATTAAAATTTAAGACCACCTTTCAATAATATAGATTATTTGTATTTATTAAAAGTATCTAGTTTTGATTACTTTCTTAGCCTTGTATAGCTGCTAGAAAGAGAGCTGCTGAGTATTTATTTTCCTCTGAAATTATATGGAAGATGTTTAAGGAGGAGGAATTAACTTATATTTATAAATAGCAGTGATAGAAGGCCTTTCTGTAATACCTTTTTTAAGAATAGAATGTGTTATCATAATATTGATACTTATGACCCTATATACTATTTAAAGATGTAATGATTCTTTATATTATTATATTATACTTAATATAATATTAATTATTATAATTACTTAGTAATTATATAGTATAATTACTTAATATTATATTAAGTAACTCTTCATTCCAAATACTTTGAATCAGATTACTGATTTTAAATATTACATCTTGGTACTATATTCTTGATGTTTTTGAGATGACAATATAATTTTCTGCCATTCTACACCCAAAAATGATTCTAAGAATGTACATAACCTATGGGTAAAGAATAAATATATGTGTATCTTTATCCATCCATCTTCTATCCTTAATAATCTATGGAAACCTTTTGAATACAGTATGTGAGATGCTTGTGGGGACTTCTCAATTATTTCTGCCCACCACACATTGGACAGAATCAGCATGCACTGCGTTTTATTGGTGAAGAGTATCACTTGGTGGGCCCATGGAAACATCCCTATATTGATACTTGTCTTGTGAAACAGCCTCCCTTCCATTAAAACCATGAAAACCTGGCTGTTCCCCAATACACTAGGCCCAGAGTACTAATTGAGTTCCCCTTCATGGTTCATTGCCTTGTCGTGGCGAAGGGGCTTGTGTAGCTCAATGAAGCTATGAGGTATGCCATGCAGGGCCACCCAAGATGGACAGGTCATAACAGAGAGCTCTGACAAAACGTGATCCACTGGAGAAGGAAATGGCAACCCACTCCAGTATCTTTGACATGAAAACCCCATGGACAGTACCAAAGGGAAAAAAGATATGACGCCAGAAGATGAGCCCCTCAGGTCGGAAGGTGTCCAATATGCTACTGGGGAAGAGCAGAGGGCTAGTACTAGTAGCGCCAGAAAGAGTGAAGCAACTGGGCCAAAGCCGACAGTTCACTCAGCTGTGGATGCATCTGGTGGTGAAAGGAAAGTCTGATGCTGTAAAGATTTTTTTCTCCATAGGAACATGGAATGTAAAATCCATGAATCAAGGCAAGCTGGACGTGGTCAAACAAGAGATGACAAGACTGAACATCGACATTTTAGGAATCAGCGAACTAAAATGGACAGGAATGGGTGAATTTAATTCCGATGATCATCAGGTATACTACTGCGGGCAAGAATCCCTCAGAAGAAATGGAATAGCTTTCATAGTCAATAAAAGAGTAAGAAAAGCAATACTGGAATACAATCCCCCAAATGACAGAATGATCTCAGTTCGAATCCAAGGCAAACCATTCAATATCACAGTAGTCCAGGTCTATGCCCCAACCACTGGTGCTGAAGAGGATGAAATTGACTGGTTCTATGAAGCCCTACAGCACCTTATAGAATTAACACCAAAAAAATGATGTCGTCATCATGGGGGATTGGAATGCTAAAATAGGAAGCCAAAAGAGCCGAGGTGGCGCAGTGGTTAGAGTGTAGTACTGCAGCTACTTCAGCTCACTGCTAGTTCACCAGATCAGCGGATCAAATCTCACTGGCTCAAGGTTGACTCAGCCTTCCATCCTTCCAAGGTGGGTAAAATGAGGACCCAGATTGTTGGGGGCAATATGCTATTTAGTATACTGTCTTTGGTGTAAGCCGCCCAGAGTCCTCAGAGAGTGGGCGGCATAGAAATATGACTAATAAATAAATAAATAAATAAATAAAAGATAACCGGAATAACAGGCAAGTTTGGCCTTGGAGAACAAAATGAAGCAGGGCACAGGCTGACAGAATTTTGTCAAGATAATACAACGGTCATAGCAAACACTCTTTTCCAACAACCCAAGAGATGACTCTACACATGGACATCACCAGAAGGTCAGCACAGTAATCAGATTGACTATGTGCTCTGCAGCTAAAGATGGAGAAGTTATGCTTAAAATCCTACAAGCTAGGCTCCAGCAGTATGTGGATTGAGAACTACCAGAAGTACAGGCAGGATTTCGAAGAGACAGAGGAACTAGAGATCAAATTGCCAACATATGCTGGATCATTGAGAAAGCTAGGGAGTTCCAGAAAAACATCTACTTCTGCTTCATTGACTATGCTAAAACCTTTGATTGTGTGGATCACAACAAATTGTGACAAGTTCTTAAACAGATGGGAGTACCAGACCATCTTATTTGTCTCTTGAGAAACCTATATGCGGGTCAAGAAGCAATAGTGAGAATTGGACATGGAACCACTGATTGGTTCAAAACTGGGAAAGGAGTCCCGCAAGGCTATATACTGTCACCCTGCCTATTTAACTTATATGCAGAGCACATCATGAAAAAGGGGGGGGGGTGAAGAAAGAGAGTGCAAAAGTTGTCTTGAAACAACATTAAGAAAACTAAGATCATGGCATCCAGCCCTCTCAATTCCTGGCAAATAGATGGGGAAGAAATGGAGGTAGTGACAGATTTTGTTTTCCTGGGCTCCAAGATCACCGCAGATGGGGACTGCAGTCAAGAAATTAAAAGATGCCTGCTCCTGGGGAGGAAAGCTATGGCAAATCTAGACAGCATACTGAAAAGCAGAGACATCACCCTGCTAACAAAAGTACATATACTCAAGGCTATAGTTTTCCCAGTTGCAATGTATGGCTGTGAAAGTTGGACCATAAGAAAGGCTGAGCGCCAAAGAATTGTGGCCTTTGAACTATGGTACTTTGGCCACCTAATGAGAAGGAAGGACTCACAGGAGAAGAGCCTAATGCTGGGAAAGATTGAGGGCAAAAGAAGAAGGGGAAGACAGAGAACAAGGTGGCTAGATGGAGTCACTGAAGCAATAGGCGTGAGCTTAAATGGACTCCAGAGGATGGTAGAGGACAGGAAGGCCTGGAGGAACATTGTCCATGGGGTCGCGATGGGTTGGACATGACTTCGCAACTAACAACAACTAATGGTGTTCTGATGTATATGCAATTGTCTCTCTTACATTGTTTGTTTTTCTTAAGTATTTGATTGTGATTCTGGTTTTTCTTTATCTAGTCTGCCCATAGTATCTTTGGTAGATGAGTGCTGATATAAATAAAATAAAAAATAAATTATTGATTATATATAACTCTGGTTATGTGCTGACAAGTTAAATGAATCCACAATCTCAGCTAAAACAATACAAAATTACTTCCGATACTAATATATAGAATGTTTACTGTTACTATTACATTTTTAAACTCCTGTTTGCTGCCCAAAATTGCAACTGTGAGATGAGCAATATATAAATCAATACAGTAAATATATGCACATATAAATATATTACTCCAAATTGTTTGATGATGAAGTGAAAGATGAAAGTGGTAGGAATATTGCGAACAAAAGAATTACCTTTGAATACATGTCTTGCTGTTCCTCGCATTTCCCTCAAATATATGTCTACAGAATGAAGGTATTTCACCTTCCAATACTGGAAAATTTCTCATATCCTGACACTTATTTTTTAGGTTTAAAATCACAGGTGTAGAATGCATCATGTTATATGGAACTTTATTGATCGATTTTATTGTAGACCTGCAGTTCAGCAAGTTCCATATTTGTTGTTTGCCCATGTCAATTTCCTGCTACTGCCTCTTGGTGTTTAGAATAATCTGAAGTAGGATGTAAACAAAGGGCACTCTGAATTCCTGGAGAATGGAATAAAGGGAACACAATTCTATATCATTCTGGATTGAAAAAACAACAAAAACAGTTATTAATTTAAAAAAAACATAATTACAAAATCACATAATGTAATAAAAATCTTTCCCCAATTTTATGGTCTCCAAATAGGTTGAGCTATACCACCAATTTTCCAGGTTATTTGACCAATGACTTTACAACCCTAATTGAGCCCCAAACGTCCATTGCAAAGCAAGACAATTAAGTGAATTTTGCCCCGTTTTATGACTTTTGTTACCCCAGTTGCTAAGTGAATCACTGCAGTTGTTAAGGTAGCAACATGGTTGTTAAGTGAATCTGACTTCTCCACTGACTATGCTTGTTAGAAGATCGCAAAAGGCAATCACATGACCCCGGCACACTGCAACTGGCATAAGTACATGCCAGTTGCCAAGCATCTGAATTTTGATCACATGGCACAGGGATAGAACAAAGATTGTTAAGTGTGAAAAATGGTGATAAGTCACTTTTTTCAATGCTGTGTTAACTTCGGCCTCTAAACTGATGGTTTTAAGTTGACGATTATCTGTACAGTTATGTTTGTTATATTATTTATCCTAATTCAATATCAGATTTTCCTTTTAGATAAAATGTACCAGCCTCTTGTCAGATTCTGAATCAGAGCTATCACATCTGAGATGCAAAAGTAGAGAACAGTGAAGATACTGTTGGAAGATTAGTAACTAGCAACTAGTAACTGGATATCAAAGCTTCAGTATTATTTGGAAACAGTTACTAAAAAGTTATTATTAGTAACTATTTTCTCAAGCTTTACTCAAGCTTTAGTATCCAGTTCCAGGGATTTTTCAGAATTAGGCATGAAAATGAAGAAGGAAGATGAAAATGAAGAATTTCCCAAACATTTTAAAGCCTGAACAAGCTCAGAAATGAGTAGTCTTCCAGATAATAAGATTGCAAATATTTGGGGGTTCACTACAGTCATAACTATCAGTTGGAATCATATGTAAAATAGATCAGTTCCTAGGCTTTTTGCCATCAGTACAGAAGTCCACTGGCCGTTTCAGATCGTTTCCAACCCCTTTTTGAAAACACTTCTGGACAGAACGTTTTGCAATAGTAACTGAGATATAGTCACAGCAGAAAACGCATTTGATACATCTGGGGGGGGGAGGGAAAGAGTAATTTATTAGTGGCGCAAATGCACTTCGACTGCTCCGAAAACCTGGATACCCAAATCCCGAAAGGACACCCCACACTGCAAAACCTGACTTTGCAACTGTTGCATACGGACATGCTGTGGCTCGGTATTACTCCATAAAGGCGCTCCCCGACGAGAAATCCTGTAATTCCGTAACCAAAAAGCAAACAATACGGCCGGCACCCTTCAGACCGTTGAAAATTTTGTAGCGAAAAAGAGCGCTGACGGAGCACAGCGGAGCCCGCCGAGAGTTAACGATCCGAATTGGCTCGAAGCGGCCCCGTCCGCCCCAAACTCGGCCGTTTTATACCGTTTACCAGGCGTAACGCTTCCCAGAAGCTTCACTCCGCACTACGACAAGCGGCGCCGCGCCTTCAGGGAAGAAAGAGACGGACGGACGGGCCGCCTCTCCTGGTCTCAGTAACTCCGGTCTCCACAAGCTTGAACTCCCAGCCGCTCCGTGGCGGACTGCGCAGGCCCGCTCCGCTTCCTGGCTGCTTTTACGGCTCCGTCCTTCACTATGCGCCGTGGAAGCGCTGAGGCGGTGTTGCCTCATGTGAGACCCAGGAGCCGTTTGTTGCCAGGCCGGTCGGTAGGCCGTCCTTTTCCCGCCAAAAGTTTCCCTGAGCCTCACCATTAGTCGTTCATTTTGCAGTCTAAAGTAGGAGCTCGTTTTATTTTCCTTCCAAAAGCCCCATAGCTCCCTTTCTTTTCGTCTTCGTTTTACCAGGCGCTTTTTAAAAACATCGTCTGGACGGGAAGGTTCAGGAGGAGCCTCACCTGCGATGGCGGCTACTAAACCTTGGTTGGATTATTTTCCTTCGGGCGTGTTAATTTCACTCCGTGAAAAAAAAACAAAAATAAAGCTGAAGGTTACAGCGGAACGCTGATTTGTGGGGCGGGTCCATAAAATGGGTCAAAACTCACTTAGTGGCTGTCTTGCTTAGCAGCGGAAATTTTGGATTCGATTGGGGACTGGGATGCTACCTCCCACTCCTCATGATTGCTTGCTGGGATTTTAAAAGTGTTATTTGTTTTTCAACAGAAGCTTTCAAACCATTTGGGATTTTGCAAACCCCTGGGAGAGTCTTGGGGGACCCTCTGTGGTCCTAGGGCAACAACTGAAGAAATACTGCCTGCTTCAGTTTTTTTTTAAAAAAATATGTAGAAAGTTAGCACCCACCCCTCTCCTAAATGAATGAAATATTTTGGGAAATATTAAAAAAGGCAGAATATTATATTTCCCTAAAAGGGAAACTTGCTCTTGGAAAGCAGCCCCCACCTTTCTTAATATCCCCAGCAGGACTGGGCCAGCCTATCTACAAGACAAAAGACCTTCAACTTCAGGGTGATGGGATTAAGACATGACCCTTCAGGACATAATAGGATTAGCCCTCTACCATCTAGCAGCAGAGCTCATGACATGGCACAACAAGCCCCTTCATTGCATCACTCAGCAAGCTTCAACCAAGCCTGGGACTCAGACAGCCTACTAAGTTAGCAGTGACCTACAGCAACCAATAGAATACATGCTCTTTCCACAGGAACAGGAAGCTCAAGGCCCAGGAGAGGGTATAAATAACCCTCACTCTCCATTCCATGTGGTCAGTTGCCCAGGACCTGAAACCCATGTAGTCCTGTCCATCAATAAACCATCTTTCCAATTAGCCCCTACATTTCCAGTGTCTTTCTTTCCACTTGGAACTGAACCAGATGGTTATTTTTTTCAACAAATATAGGAACTGTTGAAGGAAGAGGATACAGGTAGTCCTCAATTTAAGACCACAATTAAGCCCAAAATTTATGTTGCAAAGCAAGACAGTTCTTGAGTTTTGCCTGATTTTATGACTTTTTTGCCACAGTTATTAAGTGAATCATGGCAGTTGTTAAGTTAGTAACACTTGTAGCTAGCTTCCCCATTGACTTTGTCAGAAGATCACAAAAGACGATCACTGTCATTGCAACTGTCATATGAATCAGTTGCAGGCATCTGAATTTTGATCACATGACTTTGGGGAGGGTGCAACAGTCATAAGTGTGAAAAATGGTCATGTCACTTTTTTTCAGTGCTGTTGTAACTTCGAACACTAAAAACTGTGGTAAGTCAAGGACTAAACAATCTTAAACATGATTTGTGTCATATAGTATTTAAACAGGATTCAATTATGTGTGCTTGTTAAGAGTTCAACCTTATGTTAGGAGCCTGGTTTAGCTCAACAGACAGAAGCACTGTAATTTAACACCAGCTGTCTGCAATTAAAGTAAGATCGAATCTCGCCAGGCTCAAGGTTGACTCAGCCTTCCATCCTTTCTAAGGTAGGTAAATTGAGGACCCAGTTTGTGGGGGCAATAAGCTGACTTTGTATAAATATACAAAAGTATGAAGGTTATTGTTTAATGCACTGTAAGCCGCCCTGAGTCTCCGGAGAAGGGCGGCATATAAATCAAAGTAAAATAAAATAAATAAAATAAATGTTATCTGGGTTAGATGGACATGGTTTTTATCCATAGATATTTTGTTCATAGACATAGATAATTGTTTTTATTTTTCTTCCACATATATTAAATATGGCCATTTTCATTTGTACTCCTTCTAAAGAAGTACCAATTGGAAAGAAAAGTAAATGTAATTTAATGTAAATTAATGTAAATTAATTTAAATTTTTATTTTAATATTTATATCAGCAAATATTTGATGTTATACAAACTTGTTTACTCACATGTTACACAAGACAGTGCTTCCTTTTACTATTCCACAACCACAGTCCTACTTCCCACTGTTTCTGGAGCTGGTTTGAATGGACAGGCTAAATTGCTAATAGAATTAACCACTAGTTTCAACCCATTTGAAACAAAAAGGTAATTTCCCCTTTTTTTTCAGTTAGGGTTACAATGTAATCGTGTACTGTACAGCATTTTAAATTCAAAGGGAGTAAAAGCGCTTTGGAGCATGTGGGATGGCTCATATAAAACCTTTCAGTTTTTAATAGCTGCAGTTTTATTGTATTACATGGCTGCCCTTCTCAGCTGTGATGTGATCCCAGGAAAAGACATGTTTGGTTTACGGAGTTGCTTAAAATCTGAAGTGCTGGTTAGCCTCCGCTGAATAAAGTTTGCATTTCTTTCCTTGAAATTAGTGAGGAAAGGGACATTTAATTAGTAGTTGCCGAAATGTTTTCACTCGGAAGATTCTCATGTTGACTAAAACTGAGCTTCAGATATTGATATAGATGACAGTTCTTCCTCCTGAATATAAATTTATGGGTTGGCACCAAATATCTCCAGGACCATATACACTTAACTACAACAGTGTAATCAATTTGAATTTGTGGCAAAAGAGCTGGTAGATCCCCACTTTTAGCAGTTGTAAACCTAGAGGCACGCTTTTCAGTACTAATACTGGCCTTCTAATCCAGGAAGTTAAAAAAAACATTGTGGAATAAAGAAATGACAAATTTCTTCTGAACTTTGCCAAGAAAATAATATGGCTAAATGATCAAGTCATCAATCATCAATACTTGACCTCAACCTGAAGAAGACTTCATCAGTTTTGTCACATCATGAAAGAAGAAAGTAATAGTTGCCGAATCAAAGTATAAAGAGTGTTTAGTCCCATAGAACAATAATGACAACCTCTAATATTTCAACCAGAGACAATGTGACATGAAAGTGGCATTGTGTCCCTTTCCTCCTTTTTTAAATCATCCAGTAAATGAAATATTTGAGGAAATTGATATATTTGTATAATATGACCCGCAGATAATTTTATGTTTAGAAGAGAAATTCTCAAAAGTCTCAGGGTCAGCTATGTTAAAGTCATATTGCTTTTCCACTGGATCACTAATCCTTAAAATGTTCATATATAAACTTGTTAAATATATTAACATCTCACTTTGTCTGACAGCCATCTGCTCAAGATTGGAAAACATTCCTTCAGAGTTACTCGCTGGCATATTTTTATTTAATTAACATGGTGTCTCAATGTTCAGCATCACTGGTAGCAAGCTGTCATAATCCTCTGAGGAAGGAAACATTTGCTGATGAAGTAAAAGAGAAGAATACAGAATTGGCAATTAAAATTCTATTTTCATGTGACTTTTCCCACTGCTTGCTTCTTTATCCAGAATCTTTTCAAGGCAAGAGTGTAGAACTGTGTTTTCCAGTCAGTGATGAAATAAAACTCCTAGCAGCCTGTTAGCTTGACCAATAGTGATGTCTGCTGAGAGATTCAATTCAGTAATATCCATAGAACTTCATTTTCTCATTTTTTGCCTAGAGATGTATATATGTTTTTTATTTCTATCCTACCTTTATTTCTGTACAAATTCAGGCAGCATAAATAATGCTTCTGCTTACTTCCTCCACTGCAACAATTTCTATGTGGTGAGTTGGGCTGAGAGAGTATTATTGACCCAAAATCAACCAGATTACTTTCATGTCTAAGGAAGGACTAGAACTCACCAGCTCTTGGTGTCTTAATTCAACGTCTTAACTACTACTATACCTTTTAATAACTTTTCAATTTTTCTGATTTTTGAAGAATTTCAGCTAAGCTTAGAGTGTTTTTAAAAGTGATTTGCAATATAACACAGTCATAATGTTTAATGTAATGATTTACTTTTTATTTATGAGTACATCCATGTACCAGTATAGCAAATATACTTTCTTGTACTATCAGAGCTAAGAATTGATGAAGTAAATATATTGTCAGAGTTAAAAGTCTCCTAGACATTTATGGCACATGCTATTTCTTATTTAGACATTCAGCAATGAACCATACATGTACTAAATTAAGACCATTCTGCTGTGTGTTTGCATTAGAATTACAAGAGCCAGAAATTATAATAATTTGAAATGCATGTAAAGGGTTCGCTCTAGAAAAACACATGAATATTTTTATTGATTTGAATACATATGAGTTACTATCAGGCGGTAGTGAAACACTTTGAGTGCTTCTTTTAAAAATCTGATTGTTCCACAAAGAGAAAATTAGCTGCAGATGGAACAATTTAGCCTGTAGATGGAACAGTTTAACCATATCTTGTCATTTCACTTTCAGTTCAGTTCAGCATGTATTCTTAAGTACCTTCTACGCTCTTATAAATTATCTAAGATAAATTTATTCTCTGTGTATGAGTGTGTGTGTGTTATATATGTACTATTTCATGCAGTGTCCTATGTGCTCTGGAAATGCTATGCACAATTGTGGACGAGCAGTGGTGTTTTAATATTAGCTTTCTATATGAGTTGACCACGATACCAATTAGATTGTTTGGCTGAGATGAGATAAGAAAACACAATTTGGCAGTGGTTCTGAACAGGGGTAAAATGCACTTATCTTCACTACCGGATCACAAATGTGAGCATGTGCTCCTCCTCCACACATGCGCAGAGCCTTTTGCACATGTGCAGAGGATCAAAAACGGGACATGATGACATATGGGCGGGTGGGCGGAGCCTCCTGCCACCGGCCCTACCGAATTGTGCGAGCCGGATAGATTTGGCTGAATTTCACCACTGGTTCTGAACGTATATGAATAGCTAACTTTGCATTTGCTACTATTGATTTAATGG